TTTAAATATTTGGAAGATAACATATTTTGGTCAACACCATCACCATCACTCAGTCACCACCACCAGCATCACCCAGTCATCGTGTTTATTTTAGTTTTTGTGTATTCACATATATCTAAATTTGTTATATATTTTAATAAACTTATGATTTTAGCTTATGATTTTAACATATATAATTTTCCTTAAAATATTTTTACATGAATTACCAAATCCGAGTACTCGCTACTCGGCAGTCGGCCGAACGAGTACCAAATAATGAGTTCTAAAACATTGTCACCACATGTAGTGGCTATGGTGGTTTAAAACCCCCGATCTAATATTGTTGCCATTGATAGCGATATTAGTAATGAATGGTCGGCTAGAGGATGTATGTTGTATGGGGTTTATTGTGCATTGTGTGGGTAGTCGACCGATGTAGTTTTCGTTGAGAATGGCCGACTGTAAGCGATGATCGGCGATTTCCAGCGAGATAATACGACGGGGCAAGGTGGTAGAAGGCAACAAATGGAGGAGCTGACCATGAGTGTTTGGATCGGACCTCCTGGTGGTTGTAGCAGAATATGGTCAGCTTAGTGGCAGATATAGAGGATTCCGTCGGATTGTGATGAGGTTGTCTTAGGTGGCTATTGGCGGCATTGGGTGTAACAAGTTGGTGGGGTTTTGTCGAACAATCGATGAAGGTGATTGACAGTTGTCCCGCCGATTATCGATTATGGGACGCGACACTTTTGCGTATTCTGACGACTTTTTGGTGGAACCAATAAAATTAAAAAGAAATAATATTATACATTATAAATTATTAATCCAATAAAATGATAATAATTATATATAAAAATAATAAATTAAAAATAATAATCCAATAAAAAGAATTAATGTAATAAAAAAATTAAAATAAATTAATAATACAATAAAGTAATATTTATTAATAGAAAAATATTATATGGTAATTTTTTTTATTAATATATAATAATATAATAAAAAAGAATTAATCCAATAAAGAAGAAATTAAAAAAAAATAATTAAAGAAATTAATAATATAATAAAATAATATTTGATAATATATAAATATAATATAATAAAATTAATATTTATTAATATATAATAATCCAATGAAAAAGAATTAATCCAATAAAGAAGAAAATAAAACTACAATATTTCAATAAAATGAAAAAGAAAAATTACAGAAATGGTACTTGTAATTTGGTAAAAAGATCAAACTGCAGAAATGGTCCCTAGGGGTAAATCCGTCATTTTCAAAAACTTAACAGCCAGGTTGTTAAACTTAACGAGATAGGGACCAAAACCAAAATAAAACCACCAAATAGAGACCTTTTTTTTGTTAATAAACTTGTTTTGGGACCTTACCCAAAGAAATTGACAAACTACAGGGACCATTTTTGCAATTTTGTCTTCACTTTATAATATTTTGGGTAGATGTCATATGACACCAAAATGATTCTTTTATTAGGTACTAGGTTATAGGTTATAAGTTATAACCATGTAAATTACGGTCGATAATAACCCATGTAAATTACGGTCGATAAGTTTAAAATTATTATATAGACAAAAAATGCAGCGTATTGTCGATTGTAAATAATCCTAAACTAATTTTTTAAGTTAAATAAACATAATAGTTTAACATAGATTTTGAAATACTTCCTTGTATACAACATTGAAAGTTTTATTGTGATACATTAAAATTTGAGAGATTTAATACGATTTTTAAAAGATTTATACCATATGTTTCGAAATTGTTATTAGGATAAGATTTTTTATTTGAAAATTTAAATTGAAATTGATTTATTAAAGAAAATTATAAATTTATAGAAACCATAGAAACTTGCCACATGTCAGAATGTTAGGAAAAAGGAAAACATGATATTTTTAGGATTCTTTAATTAGAATAAGTAGAAGTAGATAGATAGATGAAAATTTGTTTGAATTTTTTTATAATCTCCTATTCTAATAAATAAGAGGATTTATGCCACCTGGCATTCTCTAAGCCACTTCCAATCAAATTTTCCCGCTCATTATTTCGATGTGAGTTTCCACAAATGCCCCCATTTCTTCTACACTCCTTAATTCCGCTACTTTCCTAACTATAGTCCAGAAATTAGCTCCCAAATTATCGGGATTCTCGTGATAATTAGCAAGATTGGTGTTAATTTGGTATGTTTTTCGATTCATTTTTCACCTAATTATTTAGATTTCATGAATTAGCTCTTACATCTGTTTACGATTTCTGCTGCTGCTATCATTCAAATATTTTTTTGCTCATTTTCAGTTTGTTGCTTTATTATTCAATCCCACATTGTAAGGCTAAACGAAGTGGAGGTCCCCACCGGCCTCGCTACGCTCGCTAGCCACCTTGAAACACCGCCCCTAGCACTCGCTAGTGGGTCGCTACCGGGGACTCGTCGATGTTTTGGCGAGAAGAAAGAGAAATAGCAATGCATTGTGATTGGTTGGAAGAAGACGAAGCGGAAATCGGGTTTTGTGTTATTTTACTTTTGTTCTGGGTTTGCGCTTGATGTTCTCCAAAACCATCGATCAGGAACTGTAAGTAGCTTCAACCTCTTCCATATATTCCCTCAAAATAAAAAATCCAAGAAACTCAACTTCCTCGAGAACATACGAATTGAGAGCATTGATTTGGGGATTTTTGAAAGGAAAGAAGAAAGGATTTGATAGAGAGAAGTGATCTTCGGGAACAAAGTGCATATGAAATATGGATGCAAGAGAAAAGGAGGACGTCGGAGGTGCCCTCAACACACAACTTTCAGGTGTCTTTTTTTTCACCCTGTTCTCTATATCTATATCATGTCCCCAACAATTGATTTCAGTTTTTTCTTCTGTATAAATTTTCATGACTATTTTGCTAAGTAACTCTTTGTGTGAAATAATTTCATGCCTATTATGTGTTTGATAAAATGTCTGAGTGAACCCTGTTTAGAGAGAACTTTAAGTTGCCTTTTTTTTATTCATAGATGAGAACTAAGGGCCATGGATTTTATTTGGTAGATTCTTTGATCATTCCCTGCAGATTTAGTAATGCTGAAAATGCATATATGAAGTTGTTAATTATAAAGAACAAAGGAATGGATAATTATAAAGCAGAGAAACATTGTGATGCAATTAAATGGTTTTTTTGAGCTGTGATTCTTATGGAAAAGAGTGGTGATATGTTGGCACTATGGAAATCTTATTACCTTGACCATTTTACCCCTTGGTTATTTCTGGTGTGGTGAGGCGTTGCTTGATTTTAGTTTTTATTTTGTGATTTTTCGTGGTTGTGTTCGTACTCCCCGTTGTTTCTTTTCATGAATGTTGAAGAAGTTTGTTGTTATATATTTGCAAAGAGTCTATGAGATATCTTATCTGTTTGAGACATAATTATTTGAGAGATTACATATCGGGTTTGTTATAGTTTTTGATGAATTATTAGTTTATTTCGGTGTTGAACTCTAATTGTAGTATCTTTAACCAGTGTTATAAACTGATGACTTTTAGTTTTCTTGGAAGGAAGAACAATATAGGTAGGTGCACTAAGAAGAGCCAAGGGTATAATGGTCTTTTTTGGGGATTTGTCAGTTGTAGCAGGTATATTCAAAACTGCATAGAACATCTTGACAATGGTTGGCAAGGGGAAAAGGTTTTATGCTGTAAAACATATTTGGATGACCAAATTAGCAAATCATGATACAAAAGTGTATTCACCAATATAGCAAGTTAACCTTACTATATAGTTATCAATTCACAAGCAAGTTGAAACCTGAAAATGCTAGCTAATATTTTTTATGAGTTTTATGAATAATTAGTATTATATATGATTGAAAAGCTATAATATCAAATACTAATGAATGTTTTTTTAAAAAAAAAGTAGTAATAAGTTGTATCATTAGAAAATGTCTTTTAGAAATTTGTGATTATTTTACGGAATATCGGTTTGATAGATTGCAAGTAAAACATAATATAACTTGAACATTTTAAGTCCGAAAGTTGAAATTTCCTTAGCTAATGGACAACTTAAGTTTGTGATTATATCTAATAATGATAAATCCAAAATATTAATATTTGAAACTAAATGTTTAGTATATTTAGGAACATACTTTTTTAATGATACAAATCACAAAGTCATTAAAAAATACAATATTACAATTTATAAGTTTTTCAAAATTAATGATATATTATTTTACTACATAATCTATTTTTTTTTCTATCAAAAATTAACACCCATGGGTTCCACGGGTTTTAACCTAGTACTATTATATATGATTGTTGTCATATTTAGTATATCAAATTATATGATTAAATGAAATGTTTTTCTTATTTAATTTTATAACACATGATTTGTAATTAGTTATCAAATAAAAGATTATACTTCCACTTATGTTTTTCATCCAAATAACTATATTTTGATTTTTATATTTTTTTATTATGATTCTTTATTTTCAATTAAAATAAACAATATAAAAATTAAATCATTTTTAAACTAATTTATTAAAAAACATAAATAAAAATATCACGTTTCTATGAACAAACCATGTGAACCTACAAATTCTCACCAAATAAAAGACTTGTGTTTACCTAAGAGTTGAGGACTATACGTATTATATTCCAAATTATTCACTATTAAATCAGTAAATTATTTCAGTAAATTATTTCACAAGACGTTAAACAAAACAAAAAGATATTTTCATTGTAATATTACTAATATATCTAATCCGTGGGCAACAACTATTCATATTTATTCTCTTTTTTTCTTATTGCCGTGGGGAAAAAGAATTCAAAACGGACAAAAACAAAAGAACCTTCCAGACCCATAATTCCGATCCACAAACTGCCCCGAATATCATTCGGGCAGGAACTTTCCAGACTCTCCACCCCTATAATATAAACACCCCGTCTCCCACATCAACCATCATAACCATACAAATCATTTCTCACAAAACCATTACCATTTACCAGTCTTTCGATCAATTTCATTTTCCCAGAACAACATGCCGACGAGAACAACCGGAGCTATGTCACAAGACTGGGAGCCGGTGGTGCTCCACAAATCCAGACCCAAAGCGCAAGTCCTCCGTGATCCCAAGGCAGTGAACCAGGCCCTCCGCGCCGGCGCTCAAGTCCAAACGGTGAAGAAATTCGATGGCGGAACCAACAAAAAGGCACCGGCGACCGCGGTTTATGCTAGGAAGCTCGATGAGGCAGCTGAGCCAGCAGCGCTTGATAGGGTGGCACCGGAGGTGAGGCAATTGATTCAGAAGGCGAGGATCGATAAGAAACTGAGCCAGGCGGATCTCGCGAAACAGATCAACGAGAGGCCTCAAGTTGTTCAGGAGTACGAGAATGGGAAAGCAGTTCCGAACCAGGCTGTGTTGGCGAAGATGGAGAGGGTACTTGGCGTTAAACTTCGGGGAAAAATTCACAAGTAATTTCTTTCTCCTACATGATGAAAAAACCTAGTAGATCGTATATCGTATGCTGTAAATTTGGTGTTTGTTAAGGTTTGATGGAGAATTATGGTGATCTTTATCGTTCATATGAGATTGCTTATCGAAATCGTTTGGTGTTGTAAAAATGAATGTGATATCTGAGATTTAGCAGTAATTTCCGTCCATAAGCTAATGACTGATTTTGTAAGGCAGAAACAAAAGAAAAGGAGAAAGATGCTTTACAAAAATGTAATAATCGCCCAAAAACTGATCATAAGAATGCAAATACGCAAATAGAGCTCAATTGATATCAATAGTATTTGCTTGATTCTAAGAGTAATTCCATTCGTAATGACCAGTCAATTAATGCCGGAGCTTCAATTAAGTCACGATTCATACATAAAAGCTTTGGAAATAATGTGCGTGATCCCTACAAATCGAAAAACTGATGTTTATTACCTAATTAACGAATAAAATGTCTGTTTTGAAGTATAATCGGAGTATTTCTTCCCAATAATTGAAATAATTCGTCTTGTGCAACATTTCTTTGGCCTCGGGCAAATCCTCCCAATTTTGCCTGCTCTTCGGCGGTAAGGCCATCTCCGGTGAACGTTCTAGCAACTTCTACAATATAGAATAATAGTCAAAAATGAGGAACACAACCGGATGACACCGTGATTCATGGACTTCATGTGTCTGTTAAAAAAATGGACTTCATGTTTTAGATGTGGCTTTTATAACACATAAAAGGACTTGTTACAGAATTGTTAAACAAAATAAAGATTTTGTAAGGCTAAAGTGAAGTTATCTTCAAAATTAGTTTTTTTCTACCCCAACAATATAAGAGAGCTCTGATGGGACTTATTTTTAAGTTTATTATAATTCACTTTTTTTACGAATCACTTATTACTAATAGAGATTTATTTTTTATAATAGAGATTTATTTTTTATTTTTTTCTCCACCACTCAATGTAATCAATATATTTGTATATGTTGTCACTTAATCCCTTTGTATAATGGTTATATTTCAATTTATCTTCTTACATATATTTTAATTTTAAAATATATTTTATTTTTATTTATTATTTTTATTAAATATTTAATTGCATTTCAATTAAGAATATAAAATTATAATGATTATGACTATTTCTTAAATAGTTTTTTTGTATTAATTTTTCCGAATGACATGTTCATATATTTTTTTGAACGATGTATTGTAATATTTTTATAAATTAAAAAACTATGTGTGTTTGAAAAAATGAATAATTAAATAAGGGGGTTTTACAGAATATTTAATATAAATATGAGTAAATTGGTTAAATATTTATAAAAAAATTATTAGAAGAGGTTAATCATTGGAGGAGTTGTTTATTAAAAGGTTAAAGTTATTGGAATGATGATCTCATAATAGTTTTACGTCTCAGTATAGTTTCACCAGATGCTTTTAACTATAAACTTCCAATTTAATCAGTATAGTTTCACCATTTGAAGATGCTTTTAACTGTAAACTTCCAATTTAATCCTAGTAACAAAATTAACGGTTCAAACTAGTTTGGATATTAGGTTGGATTGTCAAAAATATAAATTAAGGTAATTATAGTATTGATTTTAATATATATAAGTAAAATAAAACTTATGAATATTTTACAAATGTTTACGGATTAGTTTTTCCTAAAAATAATATGGTAGTGGAGAGGAAAAGAATACCGGGTGGCTAAAGGGGTAGAGGTAGGGAGAGCAAAAACCGAAATGGAAACCAAAAAACCGATAAAATCGAAACCGAAAAATAAAAATCCAACACAAATCGGAGTGGGTTTTAAAGAATTATAAAAATAAATATAATTTTATAAAATATACTATTTAAATAAATAATAAGATTGATTGACTAATTTTTTTAAAGGATATTTCTACATTTCATACAACCAACTTTCAATTTTAATATATATATAGATATATATATATATATATATATATATATATATATATATATATATATATATATATATAATATATATTAATTCATTTGTTCCTTTAAGAATAATATATTTGGTCTCTTTAAACTTTTGCCACATTTTGACAGTTTCTGTCCGTATTAGCCACATTTTAATTTTGCACCTCCTCATTATATATATATATATATATATTATAATATATATATATATATATATATATATATATATATATATCTATATATATATATATATATATATATATATTCTTTGTTCCTTTAAGAATAGTATATTTTGGTCTCATTAAACATTTGCCATAAGTTTTAACATTTTGACAGTTTCGGTCCATATTAGCCACATTTTAAATTTTGCACCTCCTCATTATTATATATATATATATATATATATATATATATATATATATATATATATTAAAACTTTGTTTCCTTATGAATATTAAACTTGCATTTTTTTGTCAACTTTAACCATTTTGACACTTTTGGTCATTACAATCAAAATTTTCACATTTTTTTAGGAACATTTTAGACAAAACTGCAAATTTGGTCCTTGTGGTTTGCAAAAACCTTTGGATGGGGTCCAAAAAGTTTCCGGCTTACACCGAAGGTCCAAAATCAAGGTTTTTCATTGTTTTTGGTCCAAAAAAACTTGAAAAGTCGATTTTACCCTTTTTCATTTCTTTTTTCTATTTTCTTTATTTATTTTGGTATTTAAATAATTAAAAAAATAAAAAATAAAATCTTACCCAACACTCTCTCTCTCTTTCTTTCTTTCTTTCTCTCTCTCTCTCTCTCTCTCTCTCTCTCTCTCTCTCTCTCGTAACCTAACCCAGGTTTATTCCTATTCATCTTTAAGAATCTTCCACAACTCCATCGACATACCCCTCCCTTTGATCATCATCTTGTTAATCGAACCCCACCATTGGTCCCATAAACACACAGTGAAACCCCCTTCCCCTTCAACAACACACTACTTTATCATCTTACATAAGTCAAAATCCAAAAGCCAACAACAAATCGTTTGTCAAAAGAATCTTAGGGTTCCAGTCAAAGATAAACCCCAACATAATGATCTGTGAAAGTGAAGGAGTAACAGAGAAACCCCAATGGTGCATCTCAACACTATTCTTTAGCGGGGGCTGCGGAGGTCCGATGAACTGAGAAAAGGTGCATCTCGGAACCTTTTATGGTGAGATTGGTAGGTTTCAATGAAACTCCAATCTGTATAGAGAACTAAGATGTTCACATTAGATCACAAGAAGATGGAAGTCGATGTATGATTAACAAAGAAACAGAGGTAAGTTTGAGTTTGAAATCAGATTCAATGTATTTAGGTTTTGTGGATTCCAGATTTGGTACTAGATAATAGATTCCAGGTGGGGTGATTCAATGATGAGGAGAGAAGGAAGCAAAGATCAAGTCGATGGTGGTGCTTGATTTTTTGATGATTTACTGGTGGTGGGTTATGTTCTCCGATGACGAAAACCACCAACCATTGTGATACCCTCTGGGAGAGAGACGTTGACTGAGGTTGAGAGGGGAAATGTTAGTCAGAGTTAATTAGAAGGCATCGATAGGTGGCCTAAATGTTGCAGGTTCTTGATTTCTCTTTATGGTGCTAAAATTGCTAAACTGGTGGAACAAAAATCAAGTCTTGGAAGTAAGTTTGTTGGAGTTGGCCCAAATGTTGTAGGTTCTTAATTTCTCTTCAGATTCTTAAGACTCCGGCAGTTCCCAAGCTGACCTGGTATTTTTCCAGTGAGTTTGTCGGAGTTTAAAATCAAGACTTGGAGGTTGCCAATGGAGACGAGATGGGAAGTTCTTCAGTTAAGAGAGAGAGAGATAGATAGATAGATAGATAGAGAGAGAGAGAGAGAGAGTGTGTGTGTTGGGTAATATTTTATTTATTTATTTATTTTAATTATTTAAATACCAAAATAAATAAAGAAAATAGAAAAAAGAAATGGAAAAGGGTAAAATCGACTTTTTCAAGTTTTTTTTGGACCAAAAACAATGAAAAACCTTGATTTTGGACATTCGGTGCAAGCTGGAAACTTTTTGGACCCCATCCAAAGGTTTCTGCAAACCACAAGGACTAAATTTGAAGTTTTGTCAAGATTTTAATATTCAAAGTTTGGCCACAAAACTTTAAGGAATTGACAACTTTTGTCCATTTTCTAAAAACTTGCTAATTCCAACCCCTTTAATTCTTTAGCTATTTTGACACTTTTGGTCCTTATAGTCAAAACTTTTACATTTTGACACTTTTGGTCATTGCAATCAAAATTTTTATATTCTTTAGGAACCTTTTAATATTTAAAGTTTGGCCACAAAACTTTAAGGAATTGACATTTTTCGTCCATTTTCTAAAAACTTGCTAATTCCAACCTATTTAATTCTTTAGCTATTTTGACACTTTTGGTCCTTACAGTCAAAACTTTTATATTTTTTCATAAAAAACACAAAAAACGGCCCGGGGCGAAGCCCGGGTTTTTCCGCTAGTTGATATAAGTATATCCAAATCAAGTCTCAAACATATCATACAACCAACTTTCAATTTTTTAACATTGATATAAGTATATCCAAATCAAGTCTCAAATATGTAAGAAATACATTCAGTTATGAAGTTTAATAAATACAAGTTTTAAAATAAAAACAATTAACCAATAAGGAAAAAAAATAAATGTAACAAAAAATTAAAAGATAACCAGGAGCGTTCCCCCCGTGTTGCGGGGTTGGAAGGTATTGTTTTTGTATGAAACTATAATACATTTCCTGAATTGGTTGCCACAATAAAGTATGTTGCTATTCTCTGCAATTCGCCCATTTACAAACATATAATAGTCAAAGTACAATGGTAAGGAAAAATCCGTCTTTAGTAGGTCAAAGTTTTTAAGAAGTCCATAAACATCTTCAACTCTTCATTGTAATCTCTACAAAGTATGTGTGTTTGCGCAATGACAACAATTTGTTTGTGAATTATTTTTACATTAAAAAAATATTATTATTATTATTTTTTTAGTTTGTTTAAATT